GATTTCTCACAAAAGTTTGCAAGAAGTTTGAGAGAAATAATGGAGAATTCTTGGGGAGAGATAGAGAGAATAATGTTCTGTGTATTTTTTTCTGATTGAAAACAAGTCTTATAATCATAGACTCAATCGACGTAAAAACCGCTAAAACGGAAAGAAGCGCGGGCGCGAGCGAGAAGGCGCGGGCGCGCCACACTCTGGTGCGGGCGCTCCTCCAAAGTTTTGCCAGATTTCCAGAAACTCAACGTGGCTTTGGCGCGGTTTCATCGCGGGTCGCGCCTATCTAGCGCGAGCGCGATCAATCAGTAGAGCGGGCGCTCCACTCCGACACTCTAAATAATCAACACTGTGGAGATGATTCACACAATGTCTTTGATTCATGATGATCTCCCCTGCATGGACAACGACGACCTCCGCAGGGGGAAACCCACCAACCACAAAGTATTTGGTGAGGAAGTTGCTGTACTGGCAGGGGACTCGCTACTGTCCTTCGCCTTTGAGCACCTGGTTACTGCTACCCCGTTGGACCAGGTCCCCCCTCGGCAGGTTGTTCGTGCAGTGGATCAAGATAAGATAACATTCCCTAAGTTAATGGGGATTGAGAAATCAAGGGAGTATGCTGAGAGGTTACTTAAGGTGGCTAAAGAATAGCTTGTTGGGTTTGATCTAGAGAAGGCGAAACCATTGATTGCTCTTGCTGATTATATTGCTTATAGGAAAACTTGAATGTCATTTGGTATATATACAAACTACACGTAAGAAGCAATGTATTGCTACCGAGTAAAGTTGCCTTAAATATGACAAATATTGCTAGGAGTTCCTATTTAATTACTCCATAAATAATAAAAAAATTATATATTCCCGTGTATCTTGCACCCAAGAATATTTTTAGCTCATTTAATATTTATTTGTTCATTTTAAAATCTTAAAATGTGCAAAATAAATAAATGAACAAATAAAAAAAATCAGATGAGCAAAAAACTAACCATGATGTGCACCCGAATGTATATAAAAGGTGTTGCGCACGTACTACTGGAATAAAACAAAAATTTAAGGATATGTTTGTTTTCTTTTTTTATTTTCTGATATTTGGAAAACTAGAAACAATCCTCAATAATTCAAAAAAAGTGATTTGCTCTTTTATTGCTGTCAGTTTTTAAAATTGTGAGTTTGTGACGATTCTAATAAGGCTGATTTTTAATTTTTTTATATCATACTTTGTATAGTTTTAAAAAACAAAAACCAAAAAAGAGAGAAGTGTAGTGATACAAAATGGGCCATAAAAATCCTTATTTAGTTATTCATAACAAAATGACATGTTGTAACAGTTTTATGGTAAAGAGAGAGATTTGAGGCAAAAGAGAGGATTTAGAAAGGCTTTGAGTCTAAAATGCTAACTTTCAAAAGACCAGTAATATGAGCGTCTTGGTGATTGAGGTTTATACCCTTTTCCTTACGTACCATTTAAGAATTATATGTGAAAGGTGAAAAAAAAATTAATGATAACATCTAAGAAAATATTAGGCATTAAAAATATTAGATAAATTTTTCTTAATATTTATGGTAAAATTATATAAGATAAAGATTGTACAACGCGTTTTGTGTGCAGATGGCCACATTATGTGACCGCTTGTAAAAAAAACAAATTAATTAACCTTATAATACTGATCGAGTAACCATGTAATACTGATAAGTAACCCAAAAACATTGGCCGAGTAATTCTCGTTGTAACACTGACGAAGTAATCCCTATAATACTAATGAAGTAACCCCTATGATGATTGACCACATGGTATGGCCAGCTACAGATAGGAATTTGTGAAGATCGTAATATTGTAAGCTAATGCGAAATTTTAAGACATAAAATAAAAAATTTACAGACATCCAATATACAAGTATTATGGGACGAGGAATATTTTATACTAATATGGAATACTTTGTATCTATCATGACATCCAAAATAGAGGTGTTGACGAGCCGAGTTAAGCTGGGACGAGCCTCTTTAAGCTCGACTTTAAGCTTGATACTCATGAGCTCTCGAGCTCGAAACTTGTTGAGTTTGAGATAATTGGGCTTAGCTTGAGCTCAACACCAACTAGGCTCGAGATTAAATGAGCTCAAAATCCCTAGACCTAAGCTTGACTCAGCTCGTGCTTGAGCTCGAGCTCGAGCTCGACTTGAGGCTTTATTATCAAATGTTAGATTTAATCTTAAATATATTTTTTTATTCAGATTATTTTAATTGATGATTGAATTTCTCTCAAACGAAGCCTCCAAATATGACAGTATTCTCCACGCTTAGTTGTCAATAATGTTAAGTTAAAAATAATTTTATAATATTTGATATTAATACTAGTATAAAAAAAAATACAAGCTTTTTCATGAGTTTTGGAGCCGAATCAAGGATAGCACAATCTTAACTTGTTAAAATCACGAGCCGAACTCAAACTCGAGTTTTAACCAAGTTTTGACCATGCCAAACATCGAGGAGCTCTCGGCTCGCTAGCACCCTACACCCTTATCCCAAAAGATGAAATAAATAAATATATGAGAAATCGCAACACGTGTACATGCAAGCAACCGTTGGAACTCTAATAAATTCTCGTACATGGGTACACAAACTACACAAAACACAATATAGGCCAAGGAAACGTGTTTATATAATTGTAGACCTATCTATCATTCATTTCGTCTAATTTATGTCATCAATACTCATTGTCCGATTAGTCCCTACAACATAGTGTACTCTTTTTTTTTCCATTACTGTAAACTCGTTTAGTGGATCCTAACGGTTTAATTAGATCTTTAATTCTTACGATTTTTAAAAAGTATTTACGAGCTAAATTTTGTTTTTCTTTGAGGAAACATAGTGTACTCTACTACTCTTCTTGGTTATATTTACTCCATATCTTTTTTTACTTGATTTTTACGCTAATTGCATATATTATTTTCATTACTAATTTTTTGGCGGTGATTTTCATTGATATCAAGGATACATTCTCCATAACAAAAAAACATATTCTTGTACTTGTACAATCTAATTTGGATCATCTTAATGTCCACCTTACGAATATCTATATTTTTTAAGAATAATTTTTAGATTATTATTGATATTTAGAGTTTCACGTTGACAAACATAAAGATTTACAATAGGCAATCTTCATCTTTAACTAGTTGAAATACTTATTTTTATAAACCTATGTTCATTTAAGGTGTGTTCTATCCATCATAACAAGGATTGATTTACACATCTATTTTTATTTTCATAAATGACAGACTTATCTTTTTTATTTTTTATTTTTTTTAATTTTTTTTTATCATCTCTTTCACACCACCTTTTACATACTTTGCACCATCAATCAATTATAGCTAAAATAATAGGTGTCAAGTTTGATTGTAACAAATTTTCTGAAATAAGAGTATCACATAGTAAGATACAAAAATCAATTAAATTTGCCTAATAAGGCTTTGTTTACTTCACCTTAAAAAAATTAATATTCCATAAAATAATTTCAATTCAGCAAAAAAAAAATTCCAGTTCAGTAAAAATAAGTTCAATTCAGTGAAAATAATTTAGTTCAGTAAAAATCAGTAACTTTAAAGAAGAAACATAATAATGAATCAGTAAATATAATTTCAGTTCAGTAAAATTAATTTCAGTTGACTAAAATTAATTTCTGTTCAGTACAAATTATTTAATTTCAGTAAAAAAATTTATGTTCAGCAATTAAAAATAAGGTGATGTGAACAGGGCCTAATATGCCAAGACCCTAATATGTTCACCTTCTCCTTACTAATTGTAGGGAAAATAAATTCTGATAAGCTTACTCCGTATGAAAAATAAATTTAGATATATTATGGGTTAATAAAGTATGCCAAGTTTCTTAAAAAAAAAAAAAAAGGTATGCCAAGTTCAATTTATAAGTTTCAATAAGCATTAATAGATTAGATAAAATAATTCAGTTAAGTAGAAAAAAAAAAAAAAATACTCCCTACTCCTGAAAGAAGGTTATGTTTGTCATATTAAGCGTTCTGTTTTAATTGATTACGTTTCAATTATAATCTAGATTAATGTAATTTTTTTTTTTAATTCATTCCCCTCATACATACCCACTTTCAATGCAACTATTCCCTTTTACTAAAAATAATTACTTACTTCTAATGCAACTATTCCTATTTACGAATATATAAATATTTACCTACTTCCTTCGTTTTTTTTACTTGCAACAGTTTGACTTTTACACTATTCACATATCTCACTTTGACTAGCTTTGGTGATTTATAGGTTAGGAAAAATATAGTCATGTGGGATCTTGTTTTACTCGTTTCGATTTATACTTTCATAATATCAAATTTTTATAATTTTCACACGTTGGTAAATAAAGATACTAACGATGAATTAGTGCATTGTTAAGCGTGAAAAGAAAAGTGTTGCAAGTATTAAGAAACAGAGGAAATATTTTTAATGCAAATAATTTTTTTCCAATGTTGAATTAATGTCTTAATACTTGATATATGTGAAACAACAACTAACCCCTGACCGACGAGTAACCCCTAATCGACGAGTAATCCCTGACTGACTAAGTAATCCTTGATCGAATAACTCCTGACCGACTTAGTAACCCCCGATCAAGTAACCCCTGACCGACTTAGTATCCCTTGACCGAGTGAGTAACCCATGACCGAATAACCCGTGACCGACCAAGTAACCCCTAACCGACCAAGTAATCCCTAACCGAGTGAGTAACCCTTATAGCACTAACAAAGTAACCCTCATAATGATTGACCGTATAATACTTGACCACGATATGGCCAACCACATATAATAGTTTGTATATGTGAAATTTTATCATTATTTTTCACTATCTTATTTTTCTTAATAATCGCATAAAATCATCGAATGTAACCTCATTTCAGAAATGCATGGAATATACCATGCAATTATGCACCTCAAAGGAAGTAAAAAAAAAAAAAAAAAATGCCATATAAGATAAAGCCAAAATAGTGGCAAATGATGCACAAAATCCTATCCAGTGCGGCAGTGCCAATGAACAAGTGCCATTAAGCTTGGAAAAATAAAGCATTTTGGGTGGTACAATTAATTTTTGGTACAATCCATTTCCCTCTCTCAATCTATCTTCTCTTCTATTCACCTATCACTTTTATTTTACTTATTTATGGTAACAAATCAACTGCAAATATTGCTTTCCTTATCATTTGATTACAATTTTTGAACTTGTTTAACAATTACAGAGCAATTATCTATTCCAATCTTACAGAATCAAATCACCAGATTGTTCAACTTTATTTATATATACCCACAAATTTTAATTTATATTTTCAATTTCAATTTCAATATCAATTCTCAATTTCTTCATAGTTTAGCAAACTCAAAATTCCACTAAAAATGATTAGCAGTAGTACTACTCCAAGTCTGGGAAATTGGATTCAGACATGTTCTCCTTACCATTCTAATTCCAGATCTAGATTTTCCATTTTTTCTCCTTGGAAGAATCAATTTAATAATAATGGCACCAACACTTTATCATCATCTTCTTCTAATCAATTTTCAACCCCATTTTCTCTCTCCTCAAGAAAAACCTCAAAAATGTCTTCAATCTCCGCAGTTATGACAAAACAAGAAACTGCGATTGACCCACCAGAAAACAAGATTTCATCAGCAACCCCTTTTAATTTCGAGGCATATATGGTGAAGAAGGCGAAATCGGTTCACAAAGCGTTGGATATGGCGGTGACATTAAAGCACCCAGAAAAAATTCATGAGGCCATGAGGTATTCCCTCCTTGCAGGAGGTAAAAGGGTTCGCCCTGTTCTTTGCATCGCCGCCTGCGAACTCGTAGGCGGCGATGAATCCACAGCGATGCCTGCAGCATGCGCTGTGGAGATGATTCATACAATGTCCTTGATTCATGACGATCTCCCCTGCATGGACAACGACGACCTTCGCAGGGGTAAACCCACGAATCACAAAGTGTTTGGTGAGGATGTTGCTGTCTTAGCAGGGGACTCGCTCTTGTCTTTTGCGTTCGAACATATGGCTACCTCTACCCCGTTGGACAAGGTCCCTGCTCGGCAGGTTGTTCGAGCTGTTGGGGAACTGGCTCGGGTTATCGGGGCTGAAGGGCTTGTAGCGGGACAAGTGGTTGACATTGACTCTGAAGGCGCCGTCGATGTTGGGTTGGATCAGCTTGAGTTTATACACATTCATAAGACTGCTAAACTCCTCGAGGGGGCGGTTGTTTTAGGTGCCATTGTTGGAGGTGGTAGTGATGAGGATGTGGAGAAATTGAGGAAGTTTGCGAGGGGAATTGGGTTGTTGTTTCAGGTTGTTGATGATATATTGGATGTAACGAAATCGTCTGAGGAATTGGGGAAGACTGCAGGGAAAGATTTGGTGGCAGATAAGGTGACATTTCCTAAGTTGTTGGGAATTGAGAAATCTAGGGAGTATGCTGAGAGGTTGATCAAAGAGGCTAAAGAACAGCTTGCTGGATTCGATCAAGAAAAGGCGAAACCATTGATTGCGCTTGCTGATTATATTGCTTACAGGCAAAATTGATAGTCATTGTTGGAGGAGATTGTACAACATTATCAATTGCTGTAGTTTATAATTGCGACATAGTAGATTTAATTATGATTGTTATTGGTTTAGAGAGGGATACAATAATCCTCTTATTTTTTAGGATACATTTGGTATGGAATTAGGCCGATGTAAAATAATTTGGAGCTTCCTGAATGTTTTTAGCATGCTGTATTTTTTGGCTAATATGACTGGTCTTTTTTACTTCTGTAGTCCTGGTTCCTAGTTTTACCTGTTAGAACTTTACTGCGCTCTTTGAGAGGATTGTTGTTCTGTTTTCCCAATTCAGATAGCTTCGTAATCGAATTGATTTGTGAATATCTTGATTATTTAATTACTGGTTGATCCATTTAAGCTCAAACCAATGATGTGCTAAACTGCGTCTGCTAATCATTGGACTAATGAATGTTCTGGTTGTGCATAATCAATGACAATGTGCAGCATCATTCCTATCTATTTTGTATAGTACATTGTATTCAATTCCATTTTTCGGATAGGATTGTTACAATTCTCTCTTCTCTAGACATATAAAATCCATGCTCATATAATCCCAAAGGTCGTATTGTATGATTTTATCGACAATCGAGTTATTGCAAGGTAAAAGAACAAACAGAAAACAGTTCAGGTGAAACCAGAATACAAGAACTAGCTACAAAAATAGGTGAAATCCCCAAAAAAAAAACATAAAATTATAAAGCAAAAAATACGCCGTTGCCGGGGATCGAACCCGGGTCACCCGCGTGACAGGCGGGAATACTTACCACTATACTACAACGACCTTGTTGTTAAGTTTACGGATTAAATTTATTATATAATGAGATTAATAATAACTTTATATACCATAAACAAGCGTTTCTCCGATTGTTCGTGGAAACCAAAGAAAACAGCAGCTTAAAACAACCACACCTCTCAGTCAAGAGTCAACCACTTACTGAATTATCTTCCAACTATTGCAATTTTTTTGGTCCCAACTAATTAATTAATCATACAATTTACACATTCACATTTGAATACTTCATACTTTCATCATATCCAGAAACATCACAGTATTACAGTATAGTCACCTACTTTGAATATTCAACCTTTGAAGAATCTCTCTCAAAATTCAACCTTCAATTTCCTTCATTTCTTCTTATATTCCAATTTTTTCAGTTATTTTCCACTTACATTTGGGGGTCCAATTCCCAAATATTACTAAATTTAGCCAAAAATTCAGATTTATTTCCCAATTTTAAAAAAACCCCTAGTAAATTCTAGTACTAAAATTTATTGGGTATAAAATAAAGCTGAAATCTTGGGACACTATAAATAATTTTTATAAGGGTTCATAATTTATGGGTTCTATATTTAGTAAAAAGTCAGAAACTCCAACAACCCCATCAACAAGAAATGGCAACAGCAGCAACAGCAATGGAAGCAGTGGATCCAATTCAATAACAAGCAGTGATTTAAGCTTTTATTTAGCAGCTTGTAAACAAGACCCAGATGTTAAAATCTTTGATTCAAAGCTCCAACAACATGCTACTTCTGTTATCAACACTTTGTCAACAACCGTTGACAATTCTGGGAATGGGTTTCAGCAACAGCAGCAACAGGTCTGTTCTCTTTCATTTGACTCAATTACACAAGTCACTGGAAGTTTAATGGATATGAATCATGAAGTTGTTAAAGTTATTCTTGATTGTAAAGAGGATGTTTGGAAGAATAAGGAATTGCTGTCATTAGTTGAGGATTATTTTGAGTATAGTGTTCAGACATTGGATTTCTTTGCTAAACTTGATCAATGCCTGAAACGAGCTCGGGACCGCCATTTTATCGTTCAGGTTGCGCTGAGGCGGTTTGAGGAGGAGATGATGGGTGATCAGGGTGGCAGTGAGATTTGTGATAAGTTTTCGAGTACGTTGCGGGAGTTGAGGAGTTTTAAGGAGGCTGGGGATCCGTTTGGGCAGGAGTTTTTCGGTATTTTTCAGTCTGTTTATACTCAGCAGGTTCAGATGTTGAGGAGATTACAGATTAGGAAACGAAAACTTGATAAGAAGTTGAAGTCTGTTAAGGTTTATAGGAAGGTTTCCAACATTATATTTGGTGCTGCTTTTGTTGCCGTTGTGATTTGTTCTGTTGTTGCTGCAGCTGTTGCTGCTCCGCCTGTGGCATCGGCCTTGGCAGCAGCTGTTTCTGCCCCTATTGGAGGGGTGGGGAAGTGGTTCAATTCGCTGTGGAAGAAGTATGAGAGAGAGTTGAAGGGTGAAAGGGATTTGGTCTTTGAGTTGCAGCTTGGGACTTATTTAACTGTTAAGGACTTGGATAACATTCGAGTTTTGGTGGAGAAGTTTGAGATTGTGATTGAATCGTTGTTGTCCAATGCGGACTTTGCCTTAAGGGACGCAGACACACTGCCAACGGTGATGGATGATATTAGAAACAAGTTGAATGTGTTTATGGAAGGAATTGATAGTATAACAGCACATTCAGATAAATACAGTAAAGAAATCAGACTGGCCAGGACTGTGATCTTGCACAGGATTATGAAATATCCTAGTGCACCTATCTGACTAGCTCAATCTGCCTTCTCAAGAACATTGTTTATATGGAAAATTCACCCTGCCTATCTATTGCCGGTGTCAAGGACTTGAATTCAGGTTCTATTAAATAAACTTGATGAGGAGGGGCAGTAACAAGTGCTAAATAGTGACTGGCATGCAAATGAGATTACTTTGCAGCAATATGATATATTGCTCAATAACGTATCAATTTGGCTGCCAGCTTATTCGTTTTGATAAATACTCAATTTGGGAAAAGATGCAGGATGAGGGGTCATGCCAGTGGACTGGTAGCAACTAGCAACAGGTTAGTGAAACACCCAGGCACGCAGGAGCCATGTCATCTTGATTCTTGTTATGCTTATGGTTGTGTTACTAGTTTTATCCAATATCCATCCTTGTGGTCATCTATTTGTAGTATTCTGTTAAAGTATAGTCATCCTCACTCCAGTGCTATGACCAATTTTTTTGACTGGAATTGAGTGGTTGAAGTAAACATTTATGTACATATGTGATATGCTTACTTGTATTCTGGCAAATACATTGCTTTTACAAAACTTCATTTATAATGTGAATTTGAATACAATGAGAATTTTTGGATGCCCATGAGATTAATTTGTCCCATTATTGCCCATGATGTTGTGTACAGGACAGGGTTTATTTTATTTTAATACTTATATTTTCACTTGCTATTTCATGCATTTGGTTGATAATTGGAGATTTCGATCACAATTCTTCATCTTATGATTTAGCTCATACAATTACATAGCTAGCTAGCTTTCGCTGAATGTAAGACAAAATCGGCATCCTAATACATTGCAGAACCTGTAGCTGAACTAACCAATGTGTTTTTGTCTCCTCATCAATGTAGTATTGCTAGATACAATGGCTTACAATGTCAGAGGGAGCTTTTCTATTAAAACCCCTTCCTCATCTATTTACAAATATGCTATTCAGATTGGTGCTATAGATTGTTTATATATATGCGCTGAGTCTGGTGCTCAATATATCCAGTTGCTTCTCATCATATCCCTTTTACATCTACTGAGCAGTTACACTGACGCTGTGTACCTTCTCTTTTGTCATCACCCCTAGACCTCTTTGCCCTCCAATATATTTTGCCATGTCAAAATTTGCGTACTCATTAAGTAAGAAAATCATCTGGATACCCCATGCCCTCTTTGCTCCTCACTGTACTTCGCCATGACAATACTTGCATATTCACATTGGAAGAAAATCTTCTGAACAGACTTGTGCTAGTAGGGCTTGCTGCTAGGTCATGTTCCAGTGGCTTAGTATATCTGTACTGTTGTGACAGAGTGCAAACTTTGTTTATCGTCTTCTTAAAATCCCACATTTTTTTGCCCCTCAAGTCCTCAACCCACGAGCATCAATTGCGATGAGGCACCTGTCTTTTTATTACCTTTTACTATGATTATTTTTATTTTTTTGAAAGCACTCTAGGAACATTGATTGAAAGTTTCATTTGTGGGTGAAAAGAGTGCAGAACTGCAAACTACAGCCAACAGGGTGAGTAAAACTGTAAGCTCCTGCATTCCCTGCTGCCCGGCACACCAAATTATGCACCACAACTAGATCTTGATGCTCAAAGCCACACTCAAGATGAATTCAAAAAAGCATCCAAAGACTTTCTTGAGCTGGAAAAGCATGCATCTTGTAGTTTACACTCAATTTATTGTGAACTTGGCCTGCCCCTCCTCTTCATCCCAACCTACCCTCATCTTTTGTGAAGTGCTATGTCACTAAGTCCTTATATGGATAAAAAAGATGGAACTACTGAGATCTCCTTTGGCGAGTTGGGTCATGGTTGACCCAGTTTTCAGACCACCACACTGTCTGTGAGTTCAGTACCATATGCTAATACACATCAGTGATCTGATTGTCTCCTCTACAGCCCGAAGCTTGCAAAATTAGAGGAATTGTTCATGTTTAACATTATTGTCCAACAAGCTGGAAAATACTTCTGAAGGATATTGACAACATGTAAATTTTCTGTGGTAATCAGTTGCCAGCACCACTTTGCTTGTAGATTCATAGTGTTCAGTAGAACACTAGCAGGTCTTGAAGTCCCAATCTACCTCCCAAACTCACAACAACCTTACATATTTTCTTCCAACTTGTTAATGCCAAAGGAATAGGAAAAAGAAAAGGAAAAATGGGCCATGGCAATATCTTCCAAAAAAATTAAAAGTGGGTAGTTTATAGCCTAAAATGTTACTTGTATAAGTAAATCTAAAAATCTCGGCCCATAATTGATCTTAAAAGTCCATGAAAAGTTACCCCCTTCAGATTTTTATTTTAAAATGCATGGAGTGTAATATAATATTATGAGTTGATGAATAATTTATTATATGGAGTAGTAAAAAGTAAGATGATGACCATAAAAGAGAGAGAAAGTATGTGAGAGAGTAAATATTTTTATTATTTAAGTGGGGATCATGAAAGAGAGAGAAATGATAAAATAATTTAAGTGGGGTTTAAAGTAGGAGATTAATAATAAAATATAGTATGAAGTTACCAAATATAGAAGTGATGCATTTAAAAAAAAAAAAAAACCGAAATGTGATGCATTTTAAAAAAAAAAGAAACGGAGGGAATGTATTTCATTCATGCATTTAACCTGCTAAAATAAGCTTTAATTGCATTTTAATTTCATTCATGCATTTAACCTACTAAAATTAGCTTTTATTGCTCGAAATCCAAGAACTACACTTGAAAAAAGTTCATCAGGATGGAACTATCCGATGGACTAACTCAAACCAATTTAGAAAAGCGAATGAAAATCCGTATTAAATGGGTAAAACAAGTGACGAACGTGGATTGAGTTTAGGTGAATTTTTATGGTTTGTCACTCAATTGTCTAGTTCAGGTTAGTTTTATGGTTTTGTCTTTTGTCACTCGGTTGCATCACTATAATAAATTACACACTTTTTCTCTCACAAATTTTCATACGAGTTAATATTGTACATTTATGAAGAAAAACACAAGTTCAAGAATGACACAACATTACGCCATTACCATCGACATTCAAATGTCAATGTACTTACATTCAAATTACTACTCCGCACTATTTATAATCGCTTACCTAACAAGTCGTTAATACTTTAAGTCGAACTTATTTTATCCAAACAAAACTTAAACCAAGTATTTAAAACAAGATGAACATTACATGACCTACTTGGCTACACGTGATAATACAATTTCCTTATTTTGTCCATTATTTTAGATATCGTAATAATCATTTTATGTGCTTGGATTGGGGGTAATATACTAGGAGATAATAAAAGTCAAACTTGAAAAAACATAAGTAATTAAAAGGGTTGTTGTAGGAGACAAAGTGTTTACATGAAAATTTTACAGTAGTCTTTTGAAAAATGACTACCATAAACTTAACTATGTGGCAGAAGGTGATTGGATGTAGTTATCCACATCAGCTTTGACTTTTCAACGCTTAATTTAATTAAAATCATTTTTCTAATTTCTGAAATTCATTTTTTTCGAAAATTAAATATTCTAATTACCGAAATTCATTTTTTAATTTCATAAATAATTTCACAAAATCAAATAAAAATAAAAATCAAAATCAAAATCAAAAAATTAAAATAAAAAAAAAAACGGTTCATGAATGTTCTTCATTGTTCTGAGTTCCATCCAACTTCTGCCGGAAATAATCATCTCTCTAACTTCCATCCAATTTTTGAAGAATCCTAGTTTTGAATGACAAGGATTACGATTACAAAAATTGTTCGTGTTATCGACTTTGGTAGTCATGGTAATAAAATGAGGCAAGTTATTGTTTATAGCACTAATCGGAATAGTTGGGGGTTTACTTTGTGTGGTTGAGGATGTTAAATATCGTTTCAGATTGGATGAATTGAACCTGGTGTACTTATAAATAAAAATGTTGTTCATTGGATATTTGGTGCTCCTACAGGCTTTGATTTTATCGAAGTGAATTGTCTTACTGGGTTTGATTTTGGCTTGGAGAAATGAATTGACCCATCTTTACCCAATTTGTCGAGTACTCGAGTATTCGTGACATCTATGCAGTGTATTATATCTTCTTGATTAAAAATGGGATCGTTTGTGAGATTTTGTAGACAAACACCTAATAATCGAAAATTGGAAAATAATGAAACGATTCAACACGAATCGATATGCGACATGGATATATCGAACTTAGCATTGAATAATTGAACAAATTGCTGAATAAAAGTAACAAATTTTCAAAAAGTTTTGATTTTGGATGAAAAACAATGAAAAAAGTTTTTTGATTTTGATTTTAATTTTGAAAATAATATTGATTTTCTAAAATTTATTTATGAGATTAAAGAATGAATTTCAAAAATTAGAATTTTTAATTTAAAAAAAAATATAAATTTCAGAAATTAAAAAAATAAATTTTGATTAAATTAGGCATTGAAAAGTCAAAGATGACATAGATACACCTACATCCTATCATATCTTGCCACATAGTTAAGCTTATGGTAGTTATTTTTCAAACGACTACTGCAAAATCATCCGTGTTTACAAATGAAATAAAGTAGTTGTGCCATAAGGAAAAGAGAGAGATGAAGGTAATAGTTACCCACCCTCTCCCGAGTGTAACTATTACCCTCAAAATGATTGTATTAGTTTCTCTTTTTTCACCTAATACTACACCATCATTACATAATTTTTCTTACAATCACATCATCGCTATCTCTCCCTTCCCTATATTTACTTTTATTTTGCTTAATTTAACTTTTATTACCTTAATAATACATCTCCCTCACATGTAAGCCAAGTTTTCCTTTCGACTCGTGTCTCCCATTCCTAAATTCACCGGTCAAGAATTTTCTAGTTTTATATTCTCCGTCAACAAAAAAGTCAAAAAAATTCTGACTCTTCACACAGACCCTCTCTTCTCTTCTCACTTTCCCATTCCTTAATCATTAATTCCGCCTCTGTTTGTTTCAAAAGCTTCTTTCTTTATATACTTCCATAAACTCTTACATTACCCTTTCCAAATTCCCCAAATTCAGTCTCACAACCCCAAAAATTCTCCATTTTAGGGTTCTTCCTCAATTTTCAATTTCCTAAAATGGGTGCTAAATCCAGTAAAGGTCCAAACAATCCAAACCCACCTACAATCGACGAAAATACAAATACCCAGATGAACAATTTCAATAACACTGGTGAATTAAGCTCGTATTTACAGGCTTGTCAATTAGACCCAGATGTTCAAGTCTTCGATTCTCACCTCCATGAACGAACTACTAACATCATCAATTCACTTGCTAAAAATAGCAATGATTCAGCTGAAGAAGATGGTGGATTTGAGGTTCATTCTGTATCTCTTGATTCTCTTCGACAAGTTGCTGGTTGTTTAATTGATATGAATCAAGAAGTTGTTAGGGTTATTTTAGAATGTAAGAAAGATATTTGGAATAATCAGGAATTATTTGGTTTAGTTCAAGATTATTTTGAGTATAGTGTTCAAACCCTTGATTTTTTTACTGCTCTGGATAAATGTCTTAAAAGGGTTCGTGATCGTCAGTTGATTATTCAAGTTGCATTGCTTCAATTAGAGGATAATATTGGTGATGAAAATAGGGATTATGGTAAAATTTTGCAGGAATTGAGGAATTTTAAGGAAGCTGGTGATCCTTTTACTGCTGAATTTTTCAGTATGTTTCAAGCTGTTTATAAACAGCAGGTTGTCATGTTTGAGAAATTGCAGCTTCGAAAACATAAGCTTGATAAGAAATTGAAATCGTTGAAGGTTTATAGAAAGGTGTCTAACATTATATTTGCGGCCACTTTTATTTCGGTGATCATTTGTTCTGTTGTTGCTGCTGCCATTTCGGCCCCTCCATTGGTTTCGGCTTTGGCTGCTGCTGCTTCTGCTCCGATGGGAGGGATTGGGAGGTGGATGAATTCGTTGTGGAAGAAGTATGAGAATGAATTGAAGAATCAGAGGGAGTTGATTAATTCAATGCAAGTTGGGACTTACATTACAATTAAGGACTTGGATAGTATACGGATTCTTGTTGATAAGTTAGAGGTTCAGGTTGAATCAATGTTGGCACATACTGAAATCGCGCTTACTCAAGAGGGGGCTGTTTCTGCGGTGATAGAGGAGATTAAGAAGAAGCAGGCCGAGTTTTTGAAGGCAATTGATGAGCTAGGGGAGCATGGAAATAAGTATAGTCGAGATATAAGAAGAGCTAGGACAGTGATCCTGCAGAGGATTATCAAGCATCCTAATGAAGATTGAATCACTCTTGTTTCAGCTGTTTGTTGTAACATTATTATTTATCATTAAATCCCATGTTGGTTGTGTGATTTCGAAGAATGAAGTATCAAATTAGACATCGTTGCTAATAATTGAGATGTAGGATTTTGTGGCCATTGCCATCTTTCTTGCAGGCTTTGCAGCTGCTGTTTGTGAGATATGGAGATAGTTTCAATTGATGTGTGTTGTAGTCTAAATTAAGTTTACAGCAATACATTAAAAATGTATACTATTTGGAAGCACATTTATTAAGCTTCATGATTGTTGTTTTACATTAGCTTTGGCATCGAAAAATGTTATCGATCTGCTTCATCATTTTTCCTTCAGTAAGATGCATTTTTCATGTTGATTATGAACAACATTGTATCATAATTGTGAAATTTAACCTTTTTAGTAGTGCCAAACCCTTTGATTACCAATATTACCATGACATGATTCTGTCATCACTAGTTTGCAAAAGTTATTATGATTATATGCTGAGAAATTGATGAAATTGTATTTCTTTTATTTGATGATGAGTCTCGAAGTTGTACATTATTTTCTAATTAATTTGTTGCTATGTTCATGTATTATGTTGATAAACTTAATAATCTGGAAATCATGGGCAAGTTGTTATTACTTATTAGTGCTCGTTTGGTTCGCATAGCAAGTATGGAATGTTAATTCCTAGAACATAATTTGACGATGTTTGATTGACACTTAGGTCGTGTTTGTTTTGGAGGTAATTTATTCCTCTTCTTCTGTTTGGTTTTAATCAGGATTTAGGAAGGAAATTGGAAAATTTGGGGAGATATAATTACTGATATTCCATAATTCCATTTCCACTCAGGAGTCAGGAATATAATTTCCTTCCCATGATGAAAAACGTTGCAATTTCCATGAATTTGTAAAAAGCCAGGAAATTTGGGCCGGCCCAGTCCTTTGATCAGCTCTAGTTGTAAACTTAACAACCTGGATAAATTTGCTAAGAAAATGGGCCATGCTAGATAGGTCTACTAAAAACTAAAAAGATCAAACCCAAAAAAATCACTACTTTATATGAAGGGGCTAATTTCATATGACAATTATTTGCTCCCTCCCATAATATAATGTTTCATTTTATATTCATGGTCAAACTAAATAAATCTTGTCCAAAAATTCTAATTACTTCATACATAACATAGTTATGTGAGTTAGGCCCAGTTCTTTTGAGTTGCTCTGCTCTGTTATGCTCTACTCTACTAAAATCTGCTTTACTTTGCTCTGCCCTGCTTAAAAACAATAATAATATTATTATTAATATTTAATAATAATAACTAATATTTATAGATAATAATAATTAATATTTAATAATAATAATAATAATAATTAATATATAATATTAATTGATAATGATAACTAATATTTAATGATAATAATTAATATTTTATATTATTTAACACATTTTCTAATGTTATAAAAAGAGTAAAAAAATCTTTACAAAAATCAAATAATAATAATAATAATAATAATAATAATAATAATAATAATAATAATAATAATAATAATAATAATAATAATGCTGAAATCTACTCTGCTCTGCTGAAATATACTCTGCTATGTTGAAATCTGCTCTGCTCTGCCCAGAAGCTCAAAAGAACAGGGCCTTATTTTGTTATTGTTAGTTTAGTCTCAATGTATAGTACTCCGTACTATAAATTTGTTAATATGTTTTTCCTATGTCCCTTTTTATTTGCACCATGGGTCCACTTTATGAGTCATATGGTGCAAACAAAAAGGGATAAATGGAGTAATAATAAAGGTCAAAGATACATTTTGAACACTGAGTTTTGTTAATTAAATGAAATGAAGAGAGTAATAATCAAATAATTATTAATGATTTTTGTTAATTAATACTCCATCTGTTTCATTAATCTAGTACTCTTTCCGTCCCTAAATATATTATTAATTAACTTTGAAAACTTTGACCATAAATTCCCGTTAATTTAAGAGATTATATATTCATGTGAGATCTGGTTAGATTCGTCACATTGCACTACGCGAAAAAAAGTCTTTAGCACCGGTTCAAATCCCCCTTTGCGCATCGGTTTTGAACCGTTCCAGATTTGAGGGATGCCAAATCTCTGAAGATTTGGCACCGGTTCAAAACGGTGGCTATTTAAAGATTTAGCACCGGTTAACCGGTGCGAAATACCGTCTTTGGCACCGGTTAACCAATGCTAATTACCCATGGCGCACTTTTTTATTGGTTTAGGTAGATTTGGCATATTAGGTAGATTTGGCACAGGTTAACCGGTGCCTATAACACCTTCAAAAAATAAAAAAAAATAAAAAGTTGCGACTTTTTCCCTCAATTTGAAGGAAGCAGACAATGCAATGAAACAAAACACCAAAATCCCTCAAAAAAAAAAATACCAAATCGTATCATACACTAAACACACACACACATATTCATCAAATAAATTGTTATTTTACAATTTAAAAAAAAAAACGCAACAATGAACAACAAAACATGTTAATCCGAATCTTGAATCCGTAGCTTCTTCTATGTGGAATCCTTGTAATTTTTTTTTGAAATAATAATACTACCTGCATCATAAAACACCAAAATTAATAAAACCAAAAACAAGAGAAGAGATGAGAAAGAAGAATGAGACATAAAAAAAAAAAAAAAAAAACAAAACAAAAAAAAACCCCGAAAAAACCAAGAAATCCAGATCGAAAAAACAATACCAAAAACATATGAAACAAATTCACAACAAATCTTTACAACAAAATTGAACAATAACAACTAAAAAAAACAAAATTAGAGCTAGAATTTACCAGAAAAGAATGAGTGGATTTATGTAAATAGAAACAGGCTTCCAAAATCCAAGCCCACCAAACTTAGTGACAGCTTCTTTAACAGACTCAAATGGCGCTGAAGTATCAATTTCACCCTTCAATTTTCCTGAATCCCCAAATCCTAGGGTTTCTTCGTCCCCCATTTTCAATCAATCAATAAAAAAAAACCCACAAAGAAAAACCCAAAATAAAATTGACCCTTTTGATTTTTTGGCCTTAATTGTTGAAAAAATTATCTGGGGTCTTAATTTAATGCTGATTGAAGTAGAAAAAATCAAGAAAAAAGGAAAACAGAGGAAAAATGTGAGAGTAGAAGAAGAGAGTTGTTGGGAGTGAAGGTTGAGGGGTTTAACCATAAAAACTCAAAAAAAAGAAACCCACAAAACCCAGAAATTTTGAACCCAGAAAAACCCAAAAAAACCTAAAAATGTCGAACCCAGAACCCAAAAAACCCAGAAACTTTGAACAAAAAAAACCCAAATAATTCTGATTTTCTAATAATTGACGGAGAGAACATGAACAATTAACGGAAAAAACTCATAATCAAGGCAATTTAACATAAATAATTGAACCAAAACGCAAAACTAAAGAAACCAGAAACCCTAACCTCAACTTTTTGATTTTCTAATAATTAACGGAGAGAAGAACGGCGGCTGGTGATTGCATGAACGGCGGAGGCTGATGGTTGCATGAACGGTGGCGGCGATGGTTTCGAAACGTCGACTAAGATTTCGAAAATGAGGAAGAGAGAACAGATGAGGAAGAAGAAGATGAGAGAACAGATGAGAGAGAAGCGGATTATGAGAGAGAGAGAGGGGCTGAGGGAGTATATAGAGAATATAAGGGTTTTTGGCACCGGTTAACCGGTGCCTTTTCTTATTTTTTTTGGTTTTCATTTTCTAGAACAACGGCATCGGTTAACCGGTGCCAACACATTTTTGTCCGCCGGTTTTTAAGAACCGGTGTGAATTCCTTGGTGCCCATTTGTTTTTTTTCTACTAGTGTTGTATATTTTATTAAAATCAACTTTTTATAATTTTTACATGTATAAAAATAGAGATATAGACCTTTTAAGACACATTTTAGAGACCAAAAGTCAAATGAGAGCTATATTTAGGGACAAAGGAAGTGTTTTTTTTTTTTAAGTTATATTCCATAAAATACGATGCATGTAATTAGTCGATCAATAAGTGATATGCACAATCATATCAAAGCAAATTAGATTTATTCAAAGTAATTTTTTTTTTTTCCCTTGAATATCAATCACAAAGACAAGGGAACTCTCCAAATGCTTGACTTACCTACTACATTGCGTTAGCTAACTTGGCTTCTTTTGTTGTTTGGATGCCACTTAAGGTTTCGTGTCTCACATTCATGTCAAAATCATTGTAGGATTTTAATGATGTATAAGTACCACCTTATTTTAACTACCAGCAAGTTTAGGCTAAAAGTTCCCAACGATTAGTAAGCATTCACATCCATAAATTAGAGGTGTCAAAACCACATCCGACCCAGCCCGATTTAAAATCGATTCAAAAAATATCCGATTTAAATTTCGACTCGTGTGGATACAATAATTTAACATAACTCAACTTAAAAAATTGACCCGACCTGAATCTCACCGAATCCAATTCCGACACCCAAATTGACACCTCTATTCATAATACACTAAAGTCACGAATACCCCTTCTCTCCCATAGTATTTGCATCACTTTGACGACATTATTTTCAATGTATTATTTTGACTATTGATATAATTAATTATCGATTAATGTTTTCCTAAAATCATACGTATATTTTTTTTAAGTTGGTACAACGGTGGTTTTTCTTTATAAAATATGAAAGGAAAGAAGTACCGGTAATTAATACAAGGTCAACAAGGGCTCTTGCTAGATCGATCAAGTTGGGGTTAGGTTACTCTTGATGGTTTGGACTTTGGAGTAAATATAGAGGAACTTTCTTTGTATTAGTGAAGACGAGTGAAATGTCAAGACGAGAAGAAATAACATTATCTGATTTGATTTATTCAGTTTACAGGATTATGATTTAGGTTATTTTCGGTAAGTAAATAGTTGGTCAATGTCAATATTTCTAAGAAATTTATAGCAACTTGAATTGTAGATGTTGTAGTCATCAGTCATCACGAGTGAATTGCCGAGTGACGAAGAATTGAACTCATTGAAGGAAGACCACAAACAAGCACATACTAATACGAAATTACGAAGTATAAAATAATTTACATGCACCAAATTAAAGATGAAGTTGTGTGATTTGCTAAGATGTTTCCTTATTTTTATTTATTTATTTTTAGGTATTTAGTCGTAACACTGTTTTAAACGAAGGACCTTTAAACAATAAATGCATTTAGATAATTGTAACAAATCTCATATGATTACACTTCATTTTAGTATAAATTATTATTACTTCTTCTACTCCCCCTAATACTGCAGTAACTATTCTTTTACTTACTGGTATTCTTTTACTAGATCACCTTTAATTTGACCATCAACTATGATTTATTTTTATGAAAACATATGGTCGAAACGCTTAAGACATCATGTTAATTAGATACTTCTCAATATAAGCATATAGTTGGTTTGATTATACTTGTGTTTTGGGAAGATTAAAACTTAACATGTAATATTAGAGCAACAGATGAAGTATAAGACTAGAGCTGAGTAAAAGTCAAACATCTAAAATTACTCCTTAAACAAACTACTCCCTTCATTTCATAATAATCGCAACACTTTGATCTGCACACATGCCAATGCACAATTTTGACCATTAATATTTATAATTATATATTGTTAAGAGGTATAAAAGGTTATTATACGGAGTAATGAAAATATACTAAAAGACAAATCCAAAAATAATTTACATGGTAGCATATGTTTTTTATATATTAGTAAAAAAATATCGTCAGAACAAGCATATAAATATTGCAAAAGTCGAAGTGTTGTGATTATTACGAAACGAAGCGAGTAGTTAAAAATATACTCATTGCAGATTTAACAAATTTTTTTTGGGATCTTCACATTTTTTCTTATTCATTTTCTTGGCGCACAAGGTCTACAGACTACGTTTTATGAATGTGAATGCAAACGTAATGCTAGCAATTTTCAAGTCTAACTTGTTAGTAGTAGTAGGTTAAGATAATACAAGCACAAGAATCAAAATATCTGGTGGTTAAAAATCTAGAACGACCTGAAAATGTTGATTAACATGTAAAATAACGATACCTTAGTTAGCAAGTCCTAAAACAAACACTACTAATAAAAGAAGGGGCCGTGTAGCAGTTGAAGTCAATATATACGTAAACAAGTCTTCCTCACATTAACTAGTAAAGAAAAATTATAAATATGAGTAGAAAATAATTTAAATTGTATAATTTACATGAAATTCTGGTGCAATTTCTTAACTTGTATAAACAAGTCTTCCTCACATAACAAACAAATTATTACTGAACCATGTAGACCATGTATGTAGATCTATAGGTTCTTGTTATTTGTTCTTTGTTTATCTTTCTACCATTTTTTTTTTGTTACAGCACTTAATTATATATGTTAGATCGATCAAGTTGGGGCTAAGCTAGCTAGCTACCTTGATGTTTTGGACTAGTTTCTTTTACGTTGTATTAGACCTGACAAACGGGTCGTTCGGGTCGGGTCAATTTCGGGTTAGCAAATATTCGGGTCGGGTTGGGTCAATTCAGGTTTCGGGTCAAATTCGGGTTAGTACTTCAGGTTAAGTTCCGGTCGGGTCAATTTTTAGGACCAACTTTTGGGACAATTTCAGGTCGGGACAATTTCGAGTCGAGTCAATTCGGGTCAGGTCAGTTCAGGTCGGGTCAAGTTTGGGTCGGGTCACCAAAATAAATTCACTTAAAATAAATAGTTGGAAAAATAAAGTAAAATCATTAAGAAAATAAAAAAAACGCGAGTACCTATTACTTAGGAAAGAAAGAAGCCCTAAAATAAGTAATTCACCATTTCACCCTATTCACTTAAGGAATCGGGTCACTTTAAGTTGGGTCAATTTGGGTCGGGTACTTTGGGTCGGGTCGATTCGGGTCAATCAATTCGGGTTTAATTCAGGTCACTTCGGATCGGGTCAAGTTTGGGTTTCGGGTCAATTTCAGGTCGGATTATTCGAGTCGGGTCATCTCAGGCGGGTCAATTTCAGGTCAACTCCATTTCGGGTCGAGTTCGGATTAGTTCGGATTCGGGTCAATGAATTTGGGTCAACTTTTGGGTCACGGATCGAGTCATTCGGGTCGAGTCAGGGTTACTAGGTCTATGTTGTATTATCGAAAACGTGAAGTCTCACGACCAGGTTAGATAACATTAATTCCATGACGTTGCCATGTTATTTGCTACTGAGTTTACATGTACAAAAGAATAAATTAGGTTAGTTTTGGTAAGTAAATAGTTGGTCAATGTCAATATTTCTTAGAATTTTATAGCCACTTGTAGTAAATATCGAGTGAACTGCCGTGTGATGAAGGAAGACCAGAAGCGTTAGTACTAAGAAAATTTAACATTGCGCACCAAAGAGGAAGTGATGTGATTTGCTAAGATTTTCCCATAAATTTTAATAATTTTATGCATTACTTTCTCAACTCCAAACTCACATTACTCACAACGCTTTTGTAAAAGAAAGACTCACTACAGTGGCGGTTTCAGAAATTGCTCGTTATGGATTCGGACTCTCCAAACAGATACAGGCATATCAAATATCATAATTCAAAATGAAATTTGCATTTCTTAATTCGAATGTGCATAATAATACATGTCAATTACAACAACAAAAAAAAAAAAAGTTTTAATAAATTACTTCCTCCGCTCTTTTTTACTTGACCCGCTTTGACTTACACACTATTCACCACTCGTCCATTGACCGTCTTTTGTCAATCATATGTAAGTAAAAACATATTTACGTGAGATCTTTTCTAATAAGTACTATCATAATATATAACTATTATAATTTTGACTTATGAGGAATTATAGTTATAGATCGTTAAAATTCTACATTGGCAAGCGTGATAAATGAAATAGGTCAAATAAAAAAGATAGAGGAAGTACAATTGAACTTCACGAGTCTTCATATTTTGAAAGCGATCCATTACATCATCATTTTTAACAAGGAAAAACATATCTTTCTCAACAAATGTGACTAAACATATCTATTACAGATTCATAAGCGACAAATCAATGAAATCACATTTTCAATAAAAAAAAAATTAAAACTAAACCTGAAATTTTGAATTGTCGAACTAAAGAGCAGAAGTAGGAGTGAAAGTTCGGTATTCGGTTTGGATTTTACCCCAAACCGAATTATTTCGGATTTGAAATTTTCAATCCATATCCAAACCGAATAAGCATTTAATCCAATTCAAACCGAACCGAAATTACAACAAAGAAACTGAATCCAATTCGTAAACCGAAATTTTTGGGCTAATTTTTGTAGATCTGTAATTTTTGTAATTAAAAATTATTTTTAAACAACTTTAAAAGATTCAGGCTTAAATTTCCTCAAATGTAATCTCAAAAATTAATCTTTGCATGCAAATTACATCAAACAACCATGAATATTCATTTTAGATCCAACAACCTCAACATTACCCAGAAAAATAAAATACATAATCAATAACACAAAAGAGATTAAATTGAAAATTTAGCACAAATAAATAATTAAAATTACAACTTCGACCAAGCACTTCGCCCTTGATTTCATTTCCTACCGACCATGTTAAGGTTGTTGATGTCGGCAACAAGGAATGGTTGTGGCGGTGGTTATGGCTGCCGATCTAAGTTGCGGACGAAAATAGACGGGGAATAAGGATTGATGGTTTAGGTTGTAAGGAGAGAAGATAGAAAGATTATGTGAGTATGAGAAAGGGGAAGATGACAGTATCTAAGACTAAGAGGAGAGAGAAGAAAAAATCCGAGAGAAGGTCAGAGGGGAGCACGAGAGAAGAGGAGAAAGGAAGGAAGGAGGCTGATGAAAATATGAAACCATGTAAAAAGAATAATTAGGGTTTTCTTAGTTTATATATAAAAGGGAAGTGAGGCGAGCTAAAATTCAATTGGCCTGGGCTTATGTGATAAGTTTGGGCCATAATTCGGTTTTCGGTTTTCGGTTTTTTAAAACCCAAAACCGAATCCAAACTGTAATCCATATTCTATAACCAATCCAATCCAAATTGAAAAAAAATCCAAACTGAATTACTAATTTGGTTCGATTTTCGGTTTGGTTCGGTTTGTGCTGTAAAGCAACCGTCAGATTTTAAAAAATCCGACAGAAAAGATAACCGGCCACAGCAGCCGGCAAAAAAGGAAGACAAGAGAAAGGGAATCTGGGCGGCAGAACAGTCAGGTCAGCCGGCCCAGAAGGCAAGAAGAAAATCTGAACCGTACGTCCCTAAGTACGAGTTTACGAAGGATTTCTCCTCCATTCTCATGGAAATCAAGGACCGGTTGTCCCTCCAAAAACCGGCCGCTATGAAAAGTCTTGCCAGCAGCCGGGATAAGAGCAAGTACTGCCAATACCATGAGGATGTTGGCCATGACACTAATGGATGCTATAGCCTCAGGCGGCTGTTAGATCGTCTAG